AAGTTTCAGTATAAAATAATTAGTGGTAAGACCTTGTGAGTGGCTTACGATGTTTCCATCACCACTCTTGACACACTAAACCACAATATTTAAGAGGTAAGAATTTTAAACTTGGTGGTTTAGACGACCCCCTAACTTTGGGCAGATTTTTTTAATGTTCAAATTTCGTCTTATAGGCCGTGATATACGGTACTCATATGGTGAGGTATAAATATTTTTTTTTTATTTAGCTCATAAAATTCATACAAATTACCCGGCCAGAATATAATTTACATTGCTGGAATTCTTACAATTTGGTGATCATTTTGAATATAAACATCATATATTTTGCATTAGACATACAAATTTTAGATAAAATGTTTTCTCTGAGTAAATATGTTATCTTTTGTGCAAAATATATGACATTTATATTCAAAATATTCCTGGTCTTACAAGGAATCGAGCAATGTCAATTGTATTATCCTAACTTTAGTTTGAGGTATTATTTATTAAAATTTAGTGGTTTTCCCCCCAAAATTTCTCAGAGAGGGAAGAGCCAGCAGTGTAGTGTAAGAAGAGGGGGAGGGAGTTGAGTCCATTATTTGAATGGACATTAACTTGGCGACTGTATTTCTCTATTTCTCTTAAGTATTAATTGTGTGCATGGACCATCATAAAATTAAGATGTTATATTTACTAGAACATAGGTATTGTGTGGAAAAAGTGGAGTTTGGGGGTCGGGCCAGTTTCTATTGGAATTAATCCCATATGTTCTGTTGTTCACTTAGCGCGGTTTTCACTTAACACGGTACCCTGTGGGTTTTATTGACCGCGTTAAGCGGGGTACTACTGTACATTTTTTTCAATGCTTATTTCAGTACTTGCCAAATATTAGTTTCCAAGGTGATTGGTTGGTATTTTTATGTTTTTCTTGATGTACTTTATTTCTAAAATTAATCCCACTAAATTACAAGTTTGAGGGAAAATAATATTTGGGTGAAAAAACACGCATGGGTCCCCCCCTTACAGTTTTTTTCAGGCCCGAAAAAAGCGCGATATATGCGATGTTGTTCAAAATCACAGTATAGGTACTCCTGAGCATGCAGTTAGTTTCTGAATCTCATATCCACAGTTCGATTGCGGAATAATTAGAGGTCGTAATGACACTTAGAATATTTTAATTAAATTTTTTTTCAATACTTATTTCAGTACTCGCCAACTATTTGTTTCCGAGGTGATTGGTTGGTATTTTTATGTTTTTCTGGATGTACATTATTACTAAAATTAATACCACTAAATTTTAAGTCTGAGAAAAAATCATATCTGTGTGAAAAAAACAAATAAGGGTGCCCCCTTAAAGTTTTTTTCAGGGCCGATACAAAGTGCGATATATGCGATTTTGTTCAAAATCACAGTATAGGTGCTCTTGAGCATGCTGATTCCGAATCTCATATCCACAGTTCGATTGCGGAATAATTAGAGGTCGTAATGACACATAGAATATTTGTATTACATTTTTTCCAATGCTTATTTCAGTACTCGCCAAATATTTGTTTCCGAGGTGATTGGTTGGTATTTTTGTGTTTTTATGGATGTGCTTTATTTCTAAATTTAATCCCACTAAATTACAAGTCTGAGAGAAAATCGTATTTGGGTGATAAAACACATAAGGGTCTCTCCTTACAATTTTTTTCAGGGCCAAAACAAAGCGCGATATATGCGATTTTGTTCAAAGTCACAGTACAGTGGTCCCTCGGTTAACGAACACAATCTGTTCCAGCAACGTTGTTCGTTAACCGAAAAATTCGTTAACCAAAACCATTGTTTCAATGGGTTTTTGGGTAATTGGTTCCACCTCACCGAAAATTGGCGAAATTCAACAAAAATGGTAGAAAAGTTCACTTACTTTGAGGTGTGTATGTAGAAGGCTCTTGGATGATGATGATGATGGGAATTAGAATGGGGGTGGAGGAGAAGGAAGAAGAGAAGGCATTGGGGTGGAAGAGAAGTCACCCCATGGCACCATTTCACCCATAAAATTTTAGTTCTCTTGGTGTATTTCAAGATTATTTTCTTTAAATCAACACTGCACTGCATTATATATTGTCAATATGTAAAATATATTTCAAAATGACCAATAATTTGCTTGGAAACAGAAAAAAAGCATTTAGTTGAAGAGAGAGTCAAGCAAGATGTTACCTCCAGTGAAAACAGAGAGACTAACGCCTGTTTGCTGTGTTAAGAGGCTGGATGCCGCGCATTAAACTAGTCACTTTACCTTCAATTATGTTCAATAATTGTTAAAATGACTAAAAAATTTAATACAGTATTAAACTTTTAAAATTATTGAATAGTATAAACTTCTTGATATTTACTAAAATAGTAAGGAATTTAAGCCCTAGAACCGATTAATGTATTGGCGGACTAATACTAAAGCTGGTTGACCGGCCAGTGCAAGCGAAAACATGTTGAGGTCGGTTCGTAAGAAATTCGTTAAGCGAATTTTTGTTCGTTAACCGAATTTAAGAATCTTATGGGAGGCAGTTCGTTAACCGAAATTTCGTTAACCGAGGCGTTCGTTAACCGAGGGACCACTGTATAGGTACTCCCGGAGCATGCTGATTCCGAATCTCATATCCACAGTTCGATTGCGGAATAATTAGAGGTCGTAATGATGCTTAGAATATTTTGATTAATTTTTTTTCAATGCTTATTTCAGTACTCGCCACCTATTTGTTTCCGAGGTGATTGGTTGGCATTTTCATGTTTTTCTGGATGTAATTTATTACTAAAATTAATCCCACTAAATTTCAAGTCTGAGAGAAAATCATATTTGGGTGAAAAAACACGTAAAGGTCCCCTCTTACATTTTTTTTCAGGTCCGAAACAAATTGTGATATATGTGATTTTTTTCCAAAATCACAGTATAGGTACTCCTGAGCATGCAGTTAGTTTCTGAATCTCATATCCACAGTTCGATTGCGGAATAATTAGAGGTCGTAATGACACATAGAATATTTTTATTACATTTTTTCCAATGCTTATTTCAGTACTCGCCAAATATTTGTTTCCGCGGTGATTGGTTGGTATTTTTGTGTTTTTCTGGATGTACTTTATTTCTAAATTTAATCCCACTAAATTACAAGTCTGAGAGAAAATCGTATTTGGGTGAAAAAACACGTAAGGGTCTCTCCTTACAATTTTTTTCAGGGCCAAAACAAAGCGCGATATATGCGATTTTGTTCAAAATCACAGTCCAGGTAGTTCTGCTATAACGCGATAATTGTGTTCTTGTAAAATATCGTGTTATAGAAAATCGCGTAATAGAAATAACAGGGCATATGGAGAAAATAGGGTTAGGTGCAGATTACTCGAAATCGAAAAAATTTAGTATTTAGCCTAACACAAAGGATAGCACAGTCTAAATAATGTTACATTCATATCTAATAATGAAATCATACAGTAAATGTAACACTTTACTTGATGGGGGAGAAGGGTGATTTTGAGGTTGATAAAATCAAGCTTCTCTTAAGTGTTATATCCTTTCTTTTACGATCATCAACGGGAATTCTATCACCAGAACGCTTCTTGATAGTAAGCAAAAATCGCGTTATAGCAAACAAGCGTTCGCGTTATACAAATATCGTTCCTAATTCATAAATCGCGTTAGAGCAAATTCACGTTATCAAAACACGCGTTATAGCAGAACTCACTGTACAGTGGTCCCTCGGTTAACGAACACAATCCGTTCCAGCAACGTTGTTCGTTAACCGAAAAATTCGTTAACCAAAACCATTCTTTCAATGGGTTTTTGGGTAATTGGTTCCACCTCACCGAAAATTGGCGAAATTCAACAAAAATGGTAGAAAAGTTCACTTACTTTGAGGTGTGTATGTAGAAGGCTCTTGGATGATGATGATGATGATGAGAATTAGAATGGGGATGGAGGAGAAGGAAGAAGAGAAGGCATTAGGGTGGAAGAGAAGTCACCCCATGGCACCATTTCACCCATAAAATTTTAGTTCTCTTGGTGTATTTCAAGATTATTTTCTTTAAATCAACACTGCACTGCATTATATATTGTCAATATGTAAAATATATTTCAAAATGACCAATAATTTGCTTGGAAACAGAAAAAAAGCATTTAGTTGAAGAGAGTCTCAAGCAAGATGTTACCTCCAGTGAAAACAGAGAGACTAACGCCTGTTTGCTGTGTTAAGAGGCTGGATGCCACACATTAAACTAGTCACTTTACCTTCAATTGTGTTCAATAATTGTTAAAATGACTAAAAAATTTAAATTAAACTTTTAAAATTATTGCATAGTATAAACTTCTTGATATTTACTAAAATAGTAAGGAATTTAAGACCTAGAACCGATTAATGTATTGGCGGACTAATACTAAAGCTGGTTGACCGGCCAGTGCAAGCAAAAACATGTTGAGGTCGGTTCGTAAGAAATTCGTTAAGCGAATTTTTGTTCGTAACCGAATTTAAGAATCTTATGGGAGGCAGTTCGTTAACCGAAATTTCGTTAACCGAGGCGTTCGTTAACCGAGGGACCACTGTATAGGTACTCCCGAGCATGCTGATTCCGAATCTCATATCCACAGTTCGATTGCGGAATAATTAGAGGTCGTAATGATGCTTAGAATATTTTGATTAATTTTTTTTCAATGCTTATTTCAGTACTCGCCAACTATTTGTTTCCAAGGTTATTGGTTGGCATTTTTATGTTTTATGTGTTTCTGGTTTATTGTATACATCAACAAATTTCTTTAAATACAGTACATGTTTTGTGGTGTTTTGTTGCCTTTTTCACAGGAATGTTTCACTGCTTTCATAATGTGAGTCTAGGAAATGTGATATGGTTTATGAAATGTTTTTCAGAAATGGAACCCTTTTGTAAATTGGGGAATTCCTTTACTTGGAAATTTTACTGATGTAACCTGTAATTACTTGAGTACTGCAGTACTTTGTGCTTGACATAATATCTATTTATATGTTCTTTTCTTTTATCAGGAACACCACCTTTTACGGGGCCAGACCCAATGAAGACATACAACTCTATCTTGAAGGGCATTGATGCTGTGGAATTTCCAAGAAACATCACTCGAACTGCAAATGCTCTCATTAAGCGGCTGTGTCGAGATAATCCCGCAGAACGCTTGGGTTACCAGCGTGGAGGCATCAAGGACATACAAAAGCACAAGTAGGTCTAGTAAAGACTGTCAGTGGTTATCATATACTACAAACTGTTTTGTTTAAGCATGTCATCAGATCTTATTCTGTTACAATGCATGGTTTATGCAAAATATTCTTCTGTATAGTATATACATTCAGTAAATCCCACACCTTTAACAAATACAATACTGAACTGTACAGTAGAGGGTATATGTTTCATAAGTAGTAAAAATGAGGCATTGGTTCTGAAATCACATTTTATTGCGGAGTCTGGCTCAAGTGATATATGTAAAGTCAGACAAATTTGTAGGTTAAAAATTCATGGTTTCCCAGACCCCAGTTAATGACTAGAACTAGTCCAAAAAATAAACTTCAAACTTTCCTGCCATCTATCTAAAAAGATGGCTGATGTAAATAAGAACTTATCACTGAAGGCTGTAACTTTTTAATGTCACTTTAATAGGGGAGTTGGTGGTACAGCAATAATGCTGTCCTGGGTTTGAGTCCCGCCCCAGATAAATGTGGGAAGGGTGTTATCCAGTGTGACCAAACATTGCAGGTTTCCTCTGGGTACTGTGCTTTGCTTTCCTTCTGTACTAAGATTGGGCAATAAAGTTATCAGCAAAGTAACAAAGAATGGGACAACTGCCTGAATGGCTACTGTAGTCAAGTATCTACAGTATATATAAAATGAAGGTGTAACTGATTTTTTTATGAGTCCCCAGCCATTATGTTCTAACTTTTTCCAGTCTCCATTATAAAGTGGGTTTCAGAATCAGTCCTTCATTTTTAAAGTATTATTTATTTTTGCATTAAAGCTGCACAGACATTTATAAATGTTATATTGTTGTTTTGTGTATATTTACAGATGGTTTGAAGGCTTCTATTGGGATGGACTGCAGAATCGCACCTTGGCTCCACCTATTGTCCCAAATGTTCGTTCTGTGATTGACTGCAGCAACTTTGACGAGTATCCACCAGACACTGAAGGGCCACCACCAGATGACAATTCAGGCTGGGACATAGATTTCTAGATTTTCAGTTTAGGGATAGAAGTGCCAGAAGACATTTATAAGACTATATTTGAAGGTAGTATTAAATTTTTTTATGACTATATCATAAAAGAATTCCTGGCTTACATAAAATGAAACGTCTTCAAAAATGTCTTGCACAGTCCCAGTTGTGTGTCCTTGCGTGATGTGACAGATTTGCCACAAGAAAGATGCTGAGAATAACTTCAGCTGGTGCTTGAAAGGCATGTCTGCTTCCAAGATGGAAAACAATCAAGTAGATGTATTTGTTTCTCAAACGGCTCCATCATGTGGTGACCAAGTTACTACAAAGTCACAAGATATTACATTATGACTTTTGGTGCTGCTGGCATCCAAGCAAGTGTCCATAACTATATCTGCCAAGGTGCACAAATTGAATAGGTATCTAACATCTGGATCACTGTTATGTAATGCAGGACTGAAGTGTAAATGTGCCACAGATTTTAATACTCTTAAAGCTGATTTTCATGTGTTTTAGATAAAAAGAGTTACTTATTGATGAATATCTCATTTTCCTGACATGCAAATGGGCACATTTGCACACAATTAAATGTTCAGTTGTTAAAAAAGGAAAAGGAGTAGGGCTTTAAATTAACAAGTGTCACAGTGTTCTCAGGAAGACTCAACATGGTGCCTTTATGCAGTGAGTATAAAAACTATTGTTTGTCAGTGTGCTCCTGCCTCTTTACACCTACAAATACTTCAACATATGATGTTCATATCGCATTCTCAGTATCTTCCAAATGACCTTTCTCCACCATTGTGATAATGCAGTTTGTATCCTGTCCAACCTTTTAGCATGGGTTGTAGGTTTTTGTTCTGGGAAGAGCAAGAACCATTATGGAAAGTGGTTGTATATCTTCTTTAACTTTGTTGCAGCAATACTTAAGTTTGTCTTCAGTTGATTGCTGAAAAGTACAGAAAAGATCATATAGTGAAAACTTTTTATGTTTGAAAATGTATATAAATCTATTTAAACTGAATGGTGCTTGGAAATGTCTGAAGTATAAGAATTAGCTATACTTCTTTTAGGTTGTTCTGTGGTCCATGGGCTCTGTATATTCTTTGTTTTAGTGTAATTTGTGATTAATTTCACTTAATTTAGCATTTCACAGCTTCCTCAGATTCCTCCAACTGTAGTGTTATGTCTCTGTGTTTATTATTTTTTTTATATAATTATAATTGATTATTGCAAAACTAAATGGCTATTTGATCAGTCTGCTCATAAGCAATGGCATATTTCATAAGATTTTATAATTTATTAAAAATTCAGTCTTTACTTCCATTGCTGGCTGTTTGGTAAAATACTGTACTGACCAAAATATCAAGTTGATATGCTATTTTCCAATAATTTGCAACAAAATTATCACAAGTTAATGTGTGACCTTTTTGCCTTATTTGCTATAAAGATTGTTTGATAATCTTGTGTTAGCGAGTAACACTTGTTAGCAGTAGACAGCATTCATAATCTTGAAGTTATAAATTCTCTCTGGAATTATAATTAGTTTTCACTCACTTGAAATTAAAGAAATACAATGTGAATGCCTACATTAAGCTAATCTGCCCATAACTGATAACATTATTTTGGTTGACAGGAAATCATAAGCTCTGTCAGAAGTGTATTTGAGAAAGCATATTTCCTGACTTACCGTACTTCTATTAGTTTTATTATGAATGTAAATATTTTATATTATGACAGTTGTAAAAGATTACATAGAAAGACTGATATATACAGTGATTTGCATTTCATCACAAATATTTTAGTATGAGAAGTTTTATTTGGTGTTTGTGCATTTCTTGTATAAGCAACCAAATTAGTTTTTGATGTGAAATGAAGAGAATATCTTGAAATAAAGCTACCAGTAGGTCATATTAGTCATTCATTTAAATGGTTGCAGAGCTTTCGTAAAATTCATGCAAGAGCAAATGATATATTTTACTGGTAAAAGATCAAGGCACTTTACACAATAATTCAGACTGCAGAACTGTGATTTGGGTGTCCTGTTTGTTTTATTAGTGCAATGTTTATTTATACAACTTAATGTTACGTACACCCATTTTATCCTATCACTAAACCACATTAAATAAAACTATATTGTGTATAAATATCAGGCTTAGTAATCTAGTTCTTTGATTTTCTGGAAAGTGAACATTTGGTTCTCCGTAACACGTAAGCTAAATCATGCACATCCAAAGATTGTGTATATTGCTAGTTTTCTTATGTGCTTGCCAACCAAGTTTTTTTTAATGAGTGATTGTTAAAGAATTCAACCAATTCCTTAGGACATTTTCCTAATTAGAGGTCAACATCTGCACATGAATACTTTAAATATTGATTTACTTAATACTGTAAATACTTCAAGGGGAGAATTTTCCTCATTGTGCTATATCAGTTAAAATCAAAATTTGAGTCTGTACTGTAGTGCATTAATACAGTAACTTTCAAATATTGTCATGAGGTTTAATTAAAATAACTGATCATTGCTTTCTATGATTTTACACTTAAAGGCAACATTTTAATATAACAGAGCTATCCAAGCAGTTGACACTAAACAAACTAGGAAATTTGGATTGTTTGGTAAGATGTAGGTGCTTTTATGTTTTTTACAAACTCAACATTATTTTATTAAGTGATCTCAGACCCTAGAAAAGCCTGCAATTCATAAATCTAGTTTTAAGTGGTACCGTTTCTCTGCAAAAAATGAGTGATTTGTTTGTTCATACTGCTACAAAGATCATGATCAAAGTTCTTAAGAAGTGTTTGAAGGATAATGCAAAAATACAATGACAAATACTATTCTTGTCAGTCCCCTTATAGAAAACATTGTCAAGTACTTACCAAGTTCAAACACTATTTAAGAATTTGGATGCATCTATAATGAGCAGAATATCATCACTAAGTGCCTCAATATCATATTTAAGTTACATTAAATTACATTGACCTGTGAAATATCAATGGAATTATTTGTTAACATTCTATACAGAGGCTAAGAGCTTAAATAAAATGTGGAATGGATTGTATCTATTTTATTTCCTATTGGATTGGTCTACTGCACATCTGTAGATGCAGGTACTGTATACAGTCAACCCTCACTTTACGCGGTTAATATAACCCACAGGGTACCGCGGAAAGTGAGAAACGCGTAAAGTGAACAACATAACATATGGGATTAATTGAAATAGAGACCGGGCCGACCCCCAAACTCCACTTTCTGACGACACATAACTATGTTGTAGTAAATATATTATCTTAACTTAATGATGGTATGCACACACAATTAATAATTAAGAGAAATATCAATAATAGTAGGATTTTTAACACTTACATTACTAGAAAAGATGGCTGGGCACACGGGGATGGGCGGTTGGTTCCGAGGCAGAGGACAGATTATTGGCCCTTGCCTGTATCACTTGTATCAATTGTATCACTATCCACCACAGAGGCTTGCAGGGCCTCTTTGTCAAACTCCTCAAAGTCCATATAAGTCCATATCCTCACTATAATTATCACCATCACTGACTTGGGCAGTCTGTGGTGGGTGGCGGGTGAAGAACTCGGTAATGTTTTGATGACTGGGCGACCATATGCGCACCATGCTCGCGCCGCTTACACACCATGGCGGGAGGTTTGGATCCAAAAATGGCGGGGCTCGCCAGCCGCTCTCCGCGTAAAGGGGTACACGCACTGCGGAATGTGAGCATTCCTGTTTCGGCAGGGTACCGCGTAAATGTGGAAACGCAGAATGTGGGACCACGTAAAGCGTGGGTTGACTGTACATGGTATATTAATTGTCTGCATTTAACACATACAATATTTTTTTAAACGCCTTCCCTAACATGTACAGTAAGTCTTCGATATATGCGAGTTCAGCATACCTGTATGTGAATTCACTCGTATGCAAGGACCATAATGTGAGCAAAATTTACTTTTTTGCATCCATTATCCATATTTCTCAAGTAATATGGCTTTCAAGCATTCTGGTATTACCTTCTAGTCCCTTCTAGGAAGAGAATGGGTAATGTTAGAAATTTTGAATCATGAGGTGAGTGAGGGAGCTTCAGCGCTTGGCCATTACTATAACCTGGGTTAGTCCACAATTCAAAATATTAAGAAGAATGCAGACAAGATGTTACAATCCCTGATATGAATTCTGACCCGCTGTAAATCCTCCACCACTACCTACATCATCTTTTCTACCTAAGCTGATGTATCTGCTGTTATTGGTAAGTACAGTATTGTACATATTATTTTATAAATAATAATGTACAGTATTGATTTGTTTTATGTTTTATGGTTTATTTGTCATAGGAACTGCATTTTTCTTAGAAAAGGGGAATTTTTGTCATTTTCTAATGTGGATTTTCATCATAGAAAGCGGGAATTTATCATAGAAAACGGGAAATTTCATCCTAATTTTTTTAATTTCATCACAGAAAATTTGATTTTTCTTCATATAAATCAGGGATGTTTTCATGAAAAACAGAAATTTTCATCATATAAAACACAAATTTTTATCATAGAAACCTAAAATTTTCATCATAGAAAACGGGAATTTTATCATAAAAACGCGAAATTTCATCCTAAAAAAGAACATTTCATCACAGAAAATTGGATTTTTCTTCATATAAATGAGAGATTTTTTCATAGAAAATGAGAATTTTCATCATATAAAACACGAATTTTTTTCATAGCACGCCTCATACATGCAAGCTCACTTTAGTGTTTGAAGGTATGCTACGCGTTCCTTCAGATTCAAAGCCTTTAGCACACCCCATAATTTTACCATTTTGCAACTTTTTTCAACATTTTTCATTTTTGCAACTTTTTCTTCTTCTCATACTGTCTCATCTTAATCTTCTCATTCAATTCTTCTTTTTTTCTTTCGAAAATTTTTAGACTTATAACTTCGCCAGCTTTGAATACGAAGGCTTCGAACTCTAAAGTGAGCTTAAAATTATGGCAACCATCAGTACCCTCAACTAACCTTCTCTAAAAAGAACAGAGGAGAAGACAAAAAATAAAAAAGAAATCCTAACCTAACCATCAGTACTCTCAACTAACCTAACCTAACCTAACCTTCTCTAAAAAAAACAGAAGAGAAGACAAAAAATAAAAAAAAAATCCCAACCCAACCCAACCCAACCGAAATTTTTCCAAAATTTTCCAAAAATTTTCCCAAATTTTCCGAAATTTTTCCCAAATTTTCCGAAATTTTTCCAAAATTTCCCAAAAAATTTACGAAATTTTTCCAAAATTTCCCAAAAGATTTCCGAAATTTTCCCGGAAATTTTCAGAAAATTTCCCAAAATTTTCCCAAAAATTTCCCAAATTTTTCCCAAAAATTTCCCCCAGAAAATTTTCCAAAAATTTTCCGAAAATTTTCCAAAATTTTCCGAAAATTTTCCAAAATTTTCCAAAAATTTTCAAAAATTTTCCAAAATTTTCCAAAAATTTTCCAAAAATTTGGGAAAATCTGGGGAAATTTTTGGAAAATCTGGGGAAATTTTTGAAAAATCTGGGGAAATTTCTGAAAAATCTAGGGAATTTTTGGGAAAATCTAGGGAATTTTTTGGAAAATCTGGGGAAATATCCAAAAATTTTCCAAAAATTTAAAAAATTTCCCCAGATTTTCCAAAAATTTCCCTAGATTTTCCAAAAATTTCCCTAGATTTTTCAGAAATTTCCCCAGATTTTCCAAAAATTCCCCAAGATTTTTCAGAAATTTCCCTAGATTTTCGCAAATTTTTCCCAAATTTTCCGAAATTTTTCCAAAATTTTTCCAAAATTTTCCGAAATTTTTCCAAAATTTTCCAAAAATTTTCCGAAATTTTCTCGGAAATTTTCAGAAAATTTCCAAAAATTTGCCAAAATTTTCCAAACATTTTCAGAAAATTTCAGAAAATTTTCCAAAAATTTCCGAAAATTTTCCAAAAATTTCCGAAAATTTTCCCAAATTTTCAGAAAATTCCCAAAAATTTTCGAAAATTTTCCAAAAATTTTCAGAAATTTTCCAAAATTTTCAGAAAATTCCCAAAAATTTGCCAAAAATTTCCAAATATTTTCAGAAATTTTCAGAAATTTTTCCAAAAATTTTCCAAAAATTTCCGAAATTTTTCCAAAATTTTCCGAAATTTTTCCAAAATTTTCCAAAAATTTTCCCAAATTTTCAGAAAATTTCCCAAAATTTGCCAAAATTTTCCCAAATTTTCCAAAAAATTTCACAAATTTTCCGAAAACTTTCCAAAATTTTCTGAAAATTTACAGAAAATTCCCAACAATTTTCGAAATTTTTCCAAAAATTTTCAAAATTTTCAGAAAATTTTCCAAAAATTTCCGAAAATTTTCCAAATATTTTCGAAAATTTTCCAAAATTTTCCGAAAATTTTCCGAAATTTTTCCAAAATTTTCCGAAATTTTTCCCAAATTTTCCAAAAATTCCCAAAAATTTTCGAAAATTTTCCAAAAATTTTCAAATTTTTCAGAAAATTTTCCAAAAATTTCCGAAAATTTTCCAAAAATTTCCGAAAATTTTCCAAAAATTTCCGAAAATTTTCCAAAATTTTTCAGAAAATTTTCCAAAAATTTCCGAAAATATTCCAAAATTTTCCAAAAAATTTCCCAAATTTTCCGAAAATTTTCCAAAAATTTCCAAAAATTTTCCCAAATTTTCCCAAATTTTTCCAAAAATTTCCAAAAATTTAAAAAATATTCCCAGATTTTCCAAAAATTTCCGAAATTTTTCCAAAATTTTTCCAAAATTTTCCGAAATTTTTCCAAAATTCTCCAAAAATTTTCCGAAATTTTCTCGGAAATTTTCAGAAAATTTTCCAAAAATTTCCGAAAATTTTCCAAAATTTTCCGAAAATTTTCCAAAATTTTCAGAAAATTCCCAAAAATTTGCCAAAAATTTCCAAATATTTTCAGAAATTTTCAGAAATTTTTCCAAAAATTTCCGAAATTTTTCCAAAAATTTCCGAAATTTTTCCAAAAATTTCCGAAATTTTTCCAAAATTTTCCAAAAATTTTCCCAAATTTTCCCAAATTTTTCCAAAAATTTCCGAAATTTTTCCCAAAATTTTCCAAAAATTTTCCAAAATTTTCCAAAATTTTTCGAAAATTTTCCAAAATGTTTCAGAAATTTTCCAAAAATTTTGGAAAATCTGGGGAAATTTTTGGAAAATCTGAGGAATTTTTTGAAAAATCTGGGGAAATTTTTGAAAAATCTGGGGAAATTTCTGAAAAATCTAGGGAATTTTTTGGAAAATCTAGGGAATTTTTGGGAAAATCTGGGGAAATATCCAAAAATTTTCCAAAAATTTAAAAAATTTCCCCAGATTTTCCAAAAATTTCCCTAGATTTTCCAAAAATTTCCCTAGATTTTTCAGAAATTTCCCCAGATTTTCCAAAAATTTCCCCAGATTTTCCAAAATTTTTGGAAAATTTTTGGAAAATTTCTGAAAATTTTCGAAATTTTTCCAAAATTTTCCCCAAATTTTCCGAAAATTTTCCAAAAATTTCCGAAATTTTTCCCAAAATTTTCCAAAAATTTTCCAAAATTTTCCAAAATTTTTCGAAAATTTTCCAAAAATTTTCCAAAAATTTTGGAAAATCTGGGGAAATTTTTGGAAAATCTGGGGAAATTTCTGAAAAATCTGGGGAAATTTCTGAAAAATCTGGGGAAATTTCTGAAAAATCTAGGGAATTTTTTGGAAAATCTAGGGAATTTTTGGGAAAATCTGGGGAAATATCCAAAAATTTTCCAAAAATTTCAAAAATTTTCCAAAAATTTAAAAAATTTCCCCAGATTTTCCAAAAATTTCCCTAGATTTTCCAAAAATTTCCCTAGATTTTTCAGAAATTTCCCCAGATTTTCCAAAAATTTCCCCAGATTTTTCAGAAATTTCCCTAGATTTTCGCAAATTTTTCCGAAAATTTTCCAAAAATTTCCAAACATTTTCCTAAATTTTCCGAAAATTTTCCAAAATTTTTCCAAAATTTTCCCAAATTTTTCCAAA